GGAAACAAAAACAAACAATCAAAAGACAAAAGAAAAGGTTAGTTGAAAATAAAGCGTTCATTAATCCCGTTGGGACTAAGAGTGCCCAATAAGTGAATAAGACGCATTTCTTTGGTCTTGCGACAATCATTGATCGTACCAATGTACCCGCTGTAATCTTTTGTATGTGGGCGAGACTGGCCGCCGTCTTGGTGATCGCATTTGCAATCATCTTTATGATATTCGCAATAACGATCCCACCAAACCAGTTTCCCGCCATTTTAATCTAGCTAACCATTCTCTTTCTGACTTCATTGTTTTCGGTCTTTCTCTGCTTAACGGCAACAATGATTGTCGCAACCCCGCTATTTCAATTACCTATATATCCTTTATACATCTCAATAGTCAGCTACCAACTTCCATCTAATTCCTGTATAACAATAATTTCKTATGGCAGTAGCCACATACGCTTATTGAGCGCCTATTTTTTCCATTTTGTCAAGGAGGGAAAAAAACCCACACATATATTTTGGGACTGGTTTGCCACCAGCAACCCAGTAATGAGAAATAGGCAAAAATGAAAGCAATGGAAATGAGATCTATTATACTACTAACTATTTTCAGCATATTTCATCATTTTTTGCTTATAAATAATTATTATTGTTATTAAAATATCATTTTTGGGAAAAATTGCAGTGAGCATATTACTAAGTAATTACATGCATGTGCGTGGCGTGTCTGCACTAAGATGTGCAYGTATGTGCATGTATGTTCAAGTCAAGTCAAATTCATTTTAGTACCTTATTTACAAAAATATATATATATAGAAGAAAACAAAACCTGATTTTGAGGTACATGTCAGCTGTAATAGCTAATAGTTAATCGAGACAGCTGGCATATTCCAAGGTATAGTTTGCAAATTATGTCAAGGAGTAAATACATTACACAATATAAAATAGAAGGAAAAACAGTATTAATAATAATAATAAAGAAGTTAAATGTAAATGTGTAATGTAACAAAAATGACAATAAATATAGTGAAAAAAATATGAATTTATATTGTCTTGGTATACTGGCATCAAGAAAGAAAATTTAGGAAAAATGGTAAGAAAAGAAAGAAAKAATTAATCTATGATTGACTGTCGATGTGAAGATAAAGATGTAAATATRATATGGCAATTTTTGTAAGATAAAGATTGTGACTTATATTCAATTAAATGTTTCCATGTGTGAGTGAAAGACTAAAGCTGTAAGTGTACACTTAAATAGTTCTAGCATCTGGTTGTCATACATGCTATTGCTGGATTTTTCTTGATATCACTTTCTGGATTTGATCCTTTCGAAGGACTGTAATTTTGCAACTATCGTAATTCTGCTCTCAATGGATTATGAATGGTCCTTAAACAAGGTACTACGTGGAAGACATCTCTAGGCTGGTAATAGAGTACTTACCTTCCAGACACCAAATAGTAGCAGCATACTGCATATTATCATTGCACCAGCAACTGATATACCCATATAGAGAACTTTTAATAAGTCTGTGAAACCAAAAACATACCATTTTTGAAATTATTGAAAATTTTTCTTTTAGGCATTTTTAGATAGTGAGGATAATGCAGTGTCAAAGCAAAGCCAAAATTATTGGGGTGGGGTGGGGGGGGGGAGCTCTCGGGCTCTCAAGCCACACCCATAGGTATTAAAAGACAGCCAAATAAAATATTTAATATTTAAATATCAGCTAAAGCAGTTGCAAAAATTATTGGGGCAGGAGGGAGCTCCCATTGCCCCTCCCCTTGCAGTAACACATTGTGCTCTAGTTMGCTTGTGTATGTATACAGGGGTATCATTAAAATTTGGAATGATAGGAGAAAATATCATGAACTAACTGAAGAGTTCTGGGGAAATTACTAGAGCAAACACATTAAGACCATGAAATAAATTCAAAATTGATACTAGCAAATAAGAGCTATTTAGTTGCTATCACTCAATCAGAACATTCCTTACACAAAGACAATACACAAGAGACCCTTTGTGATCTTCACTTTTTTCTTTGTGTAATATTAATAACAATAAAAATAAAAATAAAAATAATGATAATAATTGCAAGAACCAATCAAATTCTAGAATGAAACAATACATTCCGACTTAAGGTAGTGTAAATAGTAAATAGTTGCTATCACTCAATCAGAACATTCCTTACACAAAGACAATACACAAGAGACCCTTTGTGATCTTCACTTTTTTCTTTGTGTAATATTAATA